GTTTATTTCAGATTCTTGAATATACTATATATTGTGGCCTTTTTATGAATTCGACTGGGAAATCCATGGAGCGCTGTCGACCAAACCACCACATACAAACAGACTATACATTTGGTTACGTTCAGCTCTATTGCATAAAACGGTCCATACTTGACAGTGGACATGTTTTAAAACTATTCAAAATAGATTTGTATACATAATACTCACCACTTTGACGTTTAAGGTATGTGGATCGGGCACCCGTTCAGAAGTGAGTGAAACCCTGTAGCCTAAATCAAAACATAATTTCCCGTTAAGATTTAAACACGTTCGCCAAGATCCCTGGTCAAGATAAATCCAGAATCCCCATCTCACGTTTTTTATGAATCAAGACTTCATCACTTTTTCCACACAAAAAAATGTCGGGACCGTATTTACTATCCAGGTTCTGCAGAGGTGGATGTTCAATCAAATAAGGCTACTGTCAAAACCAGTGCATCACAGTTCATGGTTTAGATTATAAATTACCCGGGCATAGCCTATACATAGGCTGATGAGCCGAATCGTGTGAGGTTGTGTTGGTACTATTCGCATTAAAACGCAGCAGGGCCGGCTTTGATTAGGCTATATATTACAACAGTCCAGTTGTATTTTTAGATTAGACTTATTTACCATTGATCATTTGGTGCCATGAATCAAATTTTACAATGACCAAGCTTAGTTTTAAACCAAATCGCCACCTGTTATTACAGATTCGACAGCTTGGTGAAGGTGGTAAGGATATATGGAAAACTCGTCTCACCAACTTGACATGTTTCTGATGGGCCTACATAAGGCGACCCTTGTCTTTCAGGGGAGAAAGTGTCTGCCCACTTCACTGGAACTGAATAGCGTACCTTACCCACCCATGCCCCTGGTTTGAAGGTATTGCCAGAAAAAAAGACTGAATGAATACTCAAAGCGTCTTAATGGGTTTGTTCTTCAGTTAGTCGAACTTCACTTTAAATTCATCCTCTAATTTAGATAGGAGCAACATTGTATTGATGAGGGGGTCGTCATGCACAGTGCTGTCATTTGAACACTACAGAGTCGAGTAAAGGGTGATCCACCGCTGAGGATCAATGAAAAATCTTCCGGAGGGATGAATCTTTACTATACGTATTATTGTTGTTTGCATGATGCCACATGTTGTGGGACAGTCCATACATGTCACCAGGACTATACATGTTATTAATATAACTCGGACAAGTGTAGGCCATGTTGCATCTATATGAAATTAGGTTATTAGTAGCCTATGCGTCTTAACTTGAATCGAAGTGCCGGAAAGTGCCATATAGGCCTATGCTTCGTAGCACGCAAAAACACACATAATAGAGATGTGGAAACACCACCGAATATAAAACTATGATTTCCATATTATTCTCATTGGTAATTTAAGATGATGGTATGTCTCTTTTGCAGAAAAAAATAATCTCAATGAGGCTAACCTAAACCTACAAAAAAAAATACATTAAACACATTGAAAACTATGGAATATACCCCTTGGTTTTGGAAGAATATGCCTTATAGATTAGGCTATAACTGTCATGTCTTACTCATGTTTCTTTTGACATTTGTAAACTTTGTATACAAATTATGTAGGAGGACTCCAATTATGTTGCTCTCATGGAATGTTGATAGGCCTACTTGATTTTTTAAATGATAAATGTATCTATCGTACGAATCCTAGGAAGTGCTATTTATGGATGCACCTTGGAATATTGCCCCAAGGTTTATGTTATTGTTGGTGTGGGCCCATGTTTGATGGTATGCACATCGTACAGAGTGTAGCTTTAATGATTACAGAACGTATTCTTGATATGGTCTATACTACGCTTGGGAGATAAATATATTGCACCTTAGTTGGTCCAACAATCCAAAACAAGTTTAAACAATCCAGTCGGTTTCAGAAAAGTTTGTATTATCTCATGATATGTAGGTAGGTTAAAAATATATAAAAAATGAATTAAGGAAAAATAACAAAAATGAAAAGTTGTTATACTCGGTAGCTCCTTAACGTTAATGATTAAAGTTAGGGCCTGCATACATGTTAGCATACAAGACTAGCCTACTAAACCCTTTGAAATGGATGCTTGGGAATTAATATGCAAGCATATTAGCTTCATTGATACCAAACCCATGCACGACAACTTCCCAAATTCTGAAAATAAAATATTTTACTTGTTTTGTTGGTTTTAATGGGGTACAGAATGTATATGATTTGTTTATTTATTATGGACTGTACAATGGAATTCCGCTCTTAGCTGCCAATGTTGTTTACCATGGAAATAAACTAAACCTTACTATAGGCTATATGCCTTTTCAAGTCGTGAATTTAGAATTACAAAAGGGTGGCTTATACTTTTAACATCCATGGATAAAGAAAAATACGTAAAAGTTTATCTTGTATAAATTAAAGATGACAGACTTTCACAAAAATAGTATTTGAACTCAAAGCTGATTTAGGTTTATCATTTAGTGTATGTTACAATTTTGACATTTTACTTATAAAATATAAACACATTTCCGCTATATCAACTGCTTGTAATTTAAAAAGTAAATTCCCATGTGTTCATCATATGATGGAATATATCGAACTTTATCACATTGGCCACGTGAAGCACACATTGCATTCCGCCTATGAGTGTTTGTTAAATAGGGTACTATATCGATTTTATCGTCCTCACTCTTCGTAAAAGGATTAGTAGGCCAACGGTTGATTTTGTATCACTCTTGCTCATAATGAAAATGTGAGTATATTGTGAGTAGGCCTAAAAGGCCTATGTGTTCACAAAAACAGTATGAGAGGCATGTTTTGTTTTGCTATACCCAGATGTTGTTTCTCCGATAGCTAAATATTTGGTTTGATAGGCTATGGCAAGCCGACTGTTCCATCCAGATTTTGTTTTCTGAAACCGCTACTCGGAAGCGTCATTGTTGCCTCTCCTAATTGCAGCGAGTTTGCATGTAAGCTCCACAATGCGGTTGTGAAGTTCATTCTTGCCTGTCTAGACTTATTACGACCATGTTTGTCTGCGTTCCCTACCTTGACCTTGGACTTCCTTGTGTCTGCCATTTGAATGAATCGTCAATATCTCCGCTGGCAGATATGAGTTCCTATTTCCTGGGACAAACCGAAGAGATATTTCAACGATTGTATTCCCTTTATCTCTTCAATTCCAATAGCCTATAGGTTATGTGGTTTGTTTCATGTTGATTTTTGACACAGAGCCCATACCTGGTGCATTTAGCTATATAAGACTGCCTGTTGACCATCATGATGCCCTTCTTGCGTTTTACAAAAATTGTCAGGGATTTTAGATGGGCCTAATAATCACAACTCTTGTTTATAGTGCGACTGTAACACGTTCCCTCAGTGCATACACAATACTTAGAATTTAGCAATATCTTACATTTTTGGCAAATAGGCCTACCTTTTAACTCAGTTTTGTACATCGTATATGCACTTATTAATAAACCTGAAATATAAGGTATTATGGTTGGTCAATAACGTTTTGTCCAATTAAATAATGTTGAGACCGATGCATGCAAGCATGGGTGCAAGACCAAGGCCTTGTCCCTAACTCAGATTGTTGGTATTAGGGAAAATAAATACACATCTTTGTTCACTAGCCTACTGGAGAAGATGCATTCCGTTAGATTAGAGAATATGCATGGACCACTGCTATAACCCAAAAAAGTATTAGGAGGGATGGATAATAGTCTATGTTCTTAATATTTTCAGCGTTTTGCCAAAACTGCACCGCAATTTCTGTTTATTAGGCTACCCCCAAATTATACAGACCAAGCAGTTGCATGTTTCAACAAACCACTTTCTGAGTATCCAACTGGGCAAAACAGTGGTTTCTCTGTGCCGTGGAGAGAGGTTCTGCTTTATATTTGTATTTTATTTCCATCGTTTATTGTGTCAATTGTATTTGCCTGTTTGCGTTAGTAGTAGGTCTATTGGAGGAAAGAATATGTTGGTATTAGCATTAGATTGGGCATCTTGTCGACCACCTTGAGGGTGTCGTTTACTGGCAAGGTTTTGAGATTGATTGATTGATATATATTATACATACATACATACATACATACATACATACATACATACATACATACATACATACATACATACATACATACATACATACATACATACATACATATAAATATAAATACACACACAGAGAATTTGAACATTTAAAATGTCAGTCAAGTTAAATAAATGAAGCTGTCATTATGCATGGATAATTATCAGAAAGTTTTCGATATTAGGCTATTGACCGAGCCTACCGCAACAGGAAGATAATTCCTACCAAAAGTGATATAGGTTACAATCCCATTTTGAATGGGGGGGGGTTATTCTGCGCTCTACAACAATATTCTGGTAAGATTTGAAATTCTGAGTAAATACACTGTTGTTGTTTGACATTAGACTGTAATTGATGTAGCTAAGCCTGTTTGATTACATACAAATATTGTTAGAGCAAAATACGTCAGACAAGTGTAATCTTTACCTTAACAAGAATCGAAAATCCTCAGACGTAGGCCTATCTAAATAGTAGGCCTAGCACTGGCCTGGCGAATTCATACTTTATGTGGTTCAGATGAAATTAATTTCCGTTTAGTAAAATATGACGATCATGGCCTCCTCCACCTTCAAACTGTTGGGGATGTTCGATATCCCCTTTAAGGATACTTGCCGATGATATCCCAAGCCAATGAGAGCATCCGCTGGACTTAAAATTGCCATCAAGAAACATACACCAGAGGTGGTTTAAAGGGATGAGCCCCTCGCCCCCACGCCCAACACACCCTCGTGTCGGTCTCGTTATCGTATCACGTGTCGTCGGATCCCAGGGTCTCAATAATGAACTGGACACTTGGGTATTGCGCTGCGCATGCGCAAAAAATGTGCTTGGAGATGAGGTGTCCGTCTTGGAGTAGTTGACTTTTAAAAAGCATTGTCAACCCGTGATATGACGACTTCGCTGGTTCTGCATCCACGCTGGGCGGACACCTTGATGTACGTATATGAAAAAAGCCTGAATGAAAGTAATCCGAATAAAAACCAATCCATGGAGGGACTAAGCGGGAATTGTCCTGCTACCCACTGCAGGGAAATGATATCGCACTCTGCGTTGGGACGACACTCCGGCACCCTAAGCCACCAGGGTTCTGTGTACTCGGACATACCCTCACAGGACACTGGGCGACAGTGCCCCGCTCCCCAGACTTCCTCCAGCGCCACCCTTGGTTATGGCTACCCTTTCGGAAGCCCTTATTACGGGTGTCGGTTGTCACACTCGCACAACGTTAACTTGCAGCAGAAGCCATGCTCTTACCACCCCGCCGAGAAGTATACAGAACCCAGCGCGGCACTGCCCACTGAAGAGCTGTCAAGCCGGGCAAAGGAGTTCGCATTTTACCCGAGTTTTGCCAGCTCATACCAGACTGTCCCGGGTTACTTGGACGTGTCGGTGGTTCCGGGTATCAGTGCGCACCCGGAACCGAGACATGAAACTTTGATTCCCATGGATGGCTACCAGCACTGGGCTCTATCTAATGGCTGGGATGGACAGGTGTACTGTTCTAAAGAGCAAACACAGTCAACACATCTCTGGAAGTCGCCCTTCCCAGGTATGAAAAAAAAAAAAATCGTGGGGGGGGGGCTAGAGATTCCACACGGCTTGCATTGTGGTGTCTTATAAGAATGGATCGAAATAACCAATGTACTTTTCTTGTTACATGTTTATAGATGTCACATTGATACATTTCCTTTTAATTATATAGTTTATTTATGCATTTAAAACCCATTTCCTTTGTATAGCCATGCCATGTAAAATACCACAGGGTAGTGAGCGTGTTTGTTTATGTTCATCCTTGAGTTAAAGTCCGGAGAGGAGGCCATGGCGTTTTACAAAAGCCGGATATGGGACTAGAAATGAGTCTGCCAAAATATAGAAGCAAAGAAAACAGATTGGAATGACAAAACCTTACCAAAAATATTTAGTTTCCTTCAACCTACCATCATTCGTCTTCACGGCTGCTTCACGATATGACCACAGCAGATTAAATGCAAAAACAATACCTTTGATTTCATAGTAGCCTACAATGAGGTTTATGGATTGGAGCAGGGCACCGTTGCACTCCCCGTTAAAATAACTGATATTTTCTCAGTGCCAGTAAATCTAGTTACAACAGGGAGGGGTGCATTGAAGCTCACCATTTTCACGCCTTGTGTTTATTTGCAATTGCGAGACCCTTTTTTTTTCTCAATTTCTTTATTTCATATTTCAAATTAACTTCCAAATCAATGGTAATCAAGAATAGGATCGTTGAAGTGTGTGTTTTCAAATTGTCTAGTTGAAACGAATTGATCCATTCGTTATGTGGTAGGCCAGTTGCCCCTATTGAATAGCACATTCTATTTCTGAATACCAGTATCACGTTCCATCTTGTTAAGAATAGCTCATGGATTCCTGGATCGATTGGTTTATCATTCACAATCTAGTTAAGTTGACACACATGACATTTGGAGCTTGTATGACCACTTTCCCCAAACTTGTCGTAGGCCAATATAGTCAATATTGGGACAGTGTGATTTGGCGCTACATGCCCATAACACAGAATAGGCCTACTGTTTTTGAAATAGACTACAGTTCTTTTTTATTGTCTTGGGTTTGGTTGTACCGTTACATATTCCTCATGTTGTCCATTACCTCATTAAAATAGTCGTTTCTCTCATCTCATCTCTGCCATGGATGCACTCTTAAAAACGCTGAAATAAAACTTAGTATTAAGGATAAATATGATAGAACTGTTAACCAACCAACCAACCTACTGAGGTTGATGCACACAACTCATCCGCATGAATAAATGAATGGGATGTGATGTCTTGTTATATAGCTTTATTACATCAATTGAAGCTACATTCAAGTTTAAGATCAGGGGCTATCAATATAGATAGCCTTAGTTATGCTCAGCCTTTTCCTGCGCTCTCATAGACTAAGTGACTGTATAGCCCCAATTCAGATTATTAAGGCTTAATATTCGTAGTGTTTTAATATCAGTATGCCAATTATATTTTGAATATGCATAGGTTAAATATCTATGTTTGGACTAAATAGTCATCATGGTAGGCCTAGAGATGGCTGGCATGCTTGATCCGAAAATGTGGTCGGAGGCGCCGTATGGATCGTGTGACGCAATAGCGAAGCCTCTGGAGGCATGCAGAGGCCAAATTGAGCTCTGTACCACATCGCCGTGCGCATCTCAAATTGTGTAACAATGCGGAGGGCTCCGTATAGCTCTGCATTAACATGACTGGTTGATGGTAGGTGGGGGTGGGAGGTCCTGTATAAACACAAACTCACTTCCTTGACAACTTCCTTCACAACAGCTCTGCACTGCTCCGCTAAACGCAATACGTATGAATGCCCTAAATGCTGCGGTAAATGCTGCACGGCCAATGCAGACAGCGGATTGACCATGCAGCGTCGTTAATGGGCTCCCTTACCATTAGGCCAAAGCCTGCGTTCTTTGAACTCGTTTAGATATTTAGATTATATATTTTTAAACCATAATGATTGGGATGTAACATAAGTTAAGTCCAACCATAGCCTACTTCAAATATTTTAGGCCCATCTTAATAAATTATCCTAGCCAATCTACGGGGACCATGCACTTACATTTACGTAATTTAGCAGACGCTCTTATCCAGAGCGACTTACAGTTAGTGAATGCATACATGTTTTTTTGTTTGTTTTTTGTCATACTGGCCCCCCGTGGGAAACGAACCCACATCCCTTCCGGCCAAACCCTCCCCTACCTTGGATGACGCTGGACCAATTGTGCGCCGCCCATGGGTCTCCCGGTCGCGGCCGGCTGCGACAGAGCCTGGACTCGAACCAGGATCTCTAGTGGCACAGCTAGCACTGCGATGCAGTGCCTTAGACCACTGCACCACTCGGGAGTGACCAGATGCACCAAATGCAATGATTTGAATTCAATGCATCAGTGCTGGGTGCTTTCACATAGCATTGTTCTACATAGAAAAAATACAGACAATTACTTTCAAATTGTTTCTCCTCGTTTTCAATTGTTGTAGGCTAACAATGGTGGTTGTTTTCTCGGCCTTCCCTTCAGTGTGTTGTGCCCTTCTTTTCTCAGATGTCGTCCCTTTACAACAAGAGGTCAGCAGCTACCGACGAGGCCGCAAAAAGCGAGTTCCTTACACCAAGATCCAACTGAAGGAGCTAGAGAAAGAGTATGCAGCCAGCAAGTTCATCACCAAAGACAAGAGACGGCGAATATCTGCCACTACTAATCTCTCCGAACGCCAGGTCACCATCTGGTTCCAGAACCGGCGGGTGAAGGAGAAGAAAAGTGTCTGTAAATCTAAATCAAGCTCTCACATGCATGCCAATTGATTCAGTCCAATTTCACTGGCATGGCAACTCAAATACTTTTTTAACACAAACGCTCGATATTTATCTATAGACATTATTCTGACCTGGTATGATGCATTGCAAAACACAAACTTAATCTCACCTCCCTATTTGGACATAAACTGGGGAAAAATACAGAAGAAGATTTACTGAACCTGGTTGGAACGAATGATCACATCCTTACAGGAGCATCGAAAGCTACCAGCATTGTTAGTACAGCCTGAGAACTGAATAAAGAGAGAAGGGAGAAAAACCTTTGTGACTGATAAAGTAAACCGAGGTCTTTGGGGTCATACAGTGATCTTGTTCAGACATTTTCAGGTATTGGACGCATCAAGACTGAAAACTCACATTTCAATGATACTGTATGGCGGTTTTAGTTTGATCCCAAGCGAATGAGCAAGGCTGCTATTGTCTATGTACAGTGCCGTGCATTTATTATTTAATTAAAGGTTCTGTCTTGTGACAGGTTGTAAATTGCTATATTTTATGGTTCTCATATTTAGATAATGTTTTGTCAGTGAAGGTGTCTCTGTCATGCAACTGGAATGATTGTAATCAATATAAGAATATTAAAAATTATTTCATATTAATGCACAATCTTTTCTCATTTGGTTTGTATAGTGAGTTAGATCTTATTGCATCCGGGCTGTGCACTCCCATAAGCTGTTTTATTCCTTTATTTTTTGCAGTATTTAAACTGTGATATTTTGTTTGATCGACATTTACTCAATGGAAACGTGTAACATTTACAAATAAATATAACGACCAACAAGGTCAAATGAATGTTTTTTAAAAATAGAATCTGTTTTCTATTTTATCGACATCTTACCCTCTATCTGTATCCGTCTCCCTCTTGTCTGGTTTAATCGCTTAATGTCTACTCTTCTGTCTCTGTACGACATCTTCGGTGTCACTTTATAGAATATGTAGAATAGCAGGCTGGTCTCAGACTAGACGGAAAATAGTAAATGAAAATCCGGGACACTCAAATTAGTATGATATGTTATGTTTTGTTTGGTTACATAAGACAGAAGGTTACTTAAAGCAAAAGGGAGCATGGTTGGTCGTGAATGTAACATGAAGGTCTAGAAACCCAAAGGTTGCGTGTTCCAACCTCATCACAGACAACTTTAGCATTTTAGCTAATGAGCTACTTTGCAACTACTTACTACTTTTTAGCTACTTTGCAACTACTTAGCATGTTAGCTAACCCTAACCTTAACCCTAACCTTAACCACTAACCCCTAGCCTAGCTAACGTTAGCCACCTAGCTAACATTAGCGTTAGCCACCTAGCTAACATTAGCGTTAGCCACCTAAAATTAGCCACAACAAATTGAAGTTAGTATATCACATTTTATTTGTCACATACACGTGTTTAGCAGATGTTATTGCGGATGTAGCGAAATGCTTGTGTTTCTAGCTCCGACAGTGCAGTAATATCTAACAAGGAATATCTAACAATTTCACAATATATACCCAATACACACAAATCTAGTAACGAATGGAATTTAAGAATATATACATATATGGATAAGCAATGACAGAGCGGCATGGACTAAGATACAGTAGAATATTATAGAATAGAATACAGTCTATACATATGAGATGAGTAGTGCAAGCTATGTAAACATTATTAAAGTGACTGGTGTTCCATTTCTTAAAGTGGCCAGTGATTTCAATAGGCAGCAGCAGCCTCTAATGTGCTAGTAATGGCTATTTAACCGTAAGATGGCCTTGAGATAGAAGCTGTTTTCATTCTCTCTGTCCCAGCTTTGATGCACCTGTACTGAACTCGCCTTCTGGATGATAGCAGGGTGAACAGGCAGTGGCTCGGGTGGTTGATGTCCTTGAAGATCTTTTTGGCCTTCCTGTGACATCGGATGCTGTAGGTGTATTGGAGGGTGGGTAATTTGCCCCCGGTAATGCGTTCAGCAGACCGCATCACCCTCTAGAGAGCCCTGTGCGGTGATACAGCCCGACAGGATGCTCTCAATTGTGCCTGTAAAAGTTTGTGAGGGTTTTAGGTGCCAAGCCAAATTTCTTCAGCCTCCTGAGGTTGAAGAGGCTCTGTTGCACCTTCTTCACCGCACTGTCTGCATGGATGGACCATTTCAGTTTGTCAGTGATGTGTGCGCCAAGGAACTTGAAGCTTCCAACCTTCTACACTGCGGTCCCGTCGATGTGGATAGGGGGGTGCAACCTCTGCTGTTTCCTGAAGTCCACGATCATCTCCTTTGTTTTGTTGATGTTGAGTGAGAGGTTATTTTCCTGGCACCACACCCCCAGAGCCCTCACCTCCTCCCTGTAGGCTGTCTCGTCATTGTTGGTAATCAAGCCTACTACTGTTTTGTTGTCTACAAACTTGATGATTGAGTTGGAGGCATGCTTGGCCACAGTCATGGGTGAACAGGGAGTACAGGAGGGGGCTGAGCACGCACCCTTGTGGGGCCCCAGTGTTGAGGATCAGCGAAGTGGAGATGTTGTTTCCTACCTTCACCACCTGGGGGCGGCCCGTCAGGAAGTCCAGGATCCAGTTGCACAGGGTGGGGTTCAGACCCAGGGCCTCGAGCTTAATGATGAGCTTGGAGGGTACTATGGTGTTGATATATATGTATTGCAAATTCGTAATATATTGTATGAATTGCAGTTCATAACACTAATTGTAATTTGTAACATATCATACATTCGTAACATATTGTACAAAATGGATGATGGACATCCACAAATTAATGCATACAGTACCATACTAAATGTAACATATCATACTCATTTTAATGTCCTGGATTTTCGTCTACCCTGAGTTCTGGTTGAGAATAGATATTGCACATTGACAATTAGTTGATTGATGAGGGCTGAGACTGTATGCCCAAATGTTGCGCAAATCAGAAAAGCATTTGAACATTTGTTTAGGCTAACCAAATGATGGACCCAAAATCAAAACGGCAATAATAACCTTTTTTCATATTCTTTGGGCAAATGATGATGCATTTTGGGCAAATTGTCTTATTCGATAAATAAACAGTAGCAGTGGCGGCTCCTGAAAAAATTCTCAGGAGGGGCAATTTTTCTGATGATTTAGGTGACCTACACACATTTAAAAAAAGATATGTCCAGCAACAACATGAAGACAGGGGCAGCATATAAGTCAATACCAGAAGCATTTATTGACTGATCTGGGGAGATGGATTCCAGTTTCTGTGACAGATTATAAATAATCTCTGATGCCTTTGTTATATTAGCTTTTGGTTGAATGTACTGTCGTAGTAAATATATAATGTTATAGCTTGGTCTGACTAAAATCTTGTGCATGACCCATTTTGTGTTGGGCCTTTGTATTCAATACAATGAACAAGAGTCCTATCTTGTCAGCCTTGTCAGCAGGTGGCTAAGGATAACACCCACGCCATAGGTCTCTCAGTTCTTCCAACTCACGAGTTCTTGCCCTGAGGACACACACACACACACCCACACACACACACACACACACACACACATCATCACTGATAAACACACACACACACACACACACACACACATCATCACTGATAACAAACACACACACACACACACACACACACACACACACACTGATAACAAACACACACACACACACACACACAAATCCTCTTCTCTTAGGCTGAACATCTGAAGACAGAGAACCCGACTCAGAGCCAATGCAACAGTGACACTAGCCTGGAGGTGACCTCGCCCAACTCATCAGGACCAATCAGAAGATCAGAACTACTAGATTCAACCTACTTCATTTTATTGTATAAAATGTCAGCACACAATGTTTAGGGGCTCTTCTGATAAACTCCCTACGAGTTTGACGAACGGGTCCGTGCACGCGATTCCAGATATCTTTACCTCTGAATAAACTGCCTTATATTATACAATTATCCACCTTGTCCAAAAGTCTCTACTTGGTCTCCGTTCTCCAGTAAACTTGTTTTATCAACAATAGTAAGGTTCAATGACACAGAAAGCAGTTCAATGTCGGGGTACAGAGTCGCTCTCTTACCAGGATCGCGGTCCGCTCTGACCAGGGTGAAGCCGGCCGGCTCCACCTCTCTGTCCGGGACTCTGTCATCCAGCCAAGTCTCCCAGCTGTATTGGGATTCCGCTGCCAGCAGCGTTTTCATTATTTAGTCCGTTCGTAGCGGGTATGTACACGATCAACAAGATCAGTCCAAAACCGAAGATCAGTCCAAAGCAGAATGTTTGCAGAATGTTTGTAAACTAAGTCTACAAATTAAAAACATAAAATAACGCCACACTGCAGGTCGCAACATGGACGCTGCTAGCCGCCATTGTCTTAGTTACGTTCAACGTTACGTCACGTATGACGAAAGCGCGTAAGTGCATGCCCACAGACACCCATAGAGAATGTATTGAAAGCTTTGAAATGTGAAAAAAATAGATTTTACATGACAGGCTATGAGAGACTTCTGGGCGATTTTCAACCTGACTGAAATCGCCCAAAAAACGGGCGGGGCCATTTGAAGCACGACTTTAGCCTGATTTGACATTTAGTGGCTGGCAGATCAGACGTGAACACTGATAACTGCTGTTGCCGTGATATAATTGATTAGAAAAAAAATCCCTTCCTTTTCCCGTTTGGCAGTGCGTCGCCCATATCGCCCTATTGAACAAGCCGTCCCTGAACAGTAGGCTAACGTCGAATATTCACGTGGAATCATTTGATAAAAGTGAGTTAAATTGGCCACACATAACCTAATATGATAACATTAGGCCTACCTCTTTGAACGTCATTACCGTGGATGTAACCAGCTTCACTGACACTAAGCATAGACTACTCCTGGACTAAATTGTTAAGAACCCCTAAACCGAAAATGTTCAATGATGGTTTCAATTCTAGAATGATAAACCCAATCCTGACTTTGACTAGTCTTCATCATATTAATTCTGCGTTCAAGACCGAGAAGTCGATCTACTTCAGGACTAGCTGATATAAATGAGCCTCCTTACTATCTTCATTCCATAATGGAAGACTGTCATGACAATGAAATCACTTTAAAAAGCCGGGTTTAGTCGGTCTATAGGTTAAGTGAGAATATCTCCGTGAAACCTAAATTAACTGCATTACAGATTCTGAATATGATTGTCAAAACGCAATGATAGGCTAGATATTTTGTCGAAAGAAGAATTGTCTGTGTAGATTATTAGCAGAGAGTTGTCATTTTAAGAGTAGGCGAAAAAATCTGATGTCGCTTGATTATTTCCGTTTTTAGTCTCTGCAGCAATTTGATTCACTCATTAATTTGTGCTCCAAGATATGGCATGAACTAATTTCTTCTGGAAGCCTTCATAAGCTTTCTGTGCATTATTTGAGAATTATTTCGAGAAATTGGTATTTTATTTTATTTGATCATTTAAACACGGTACACATACCAAATTATGCACTTGATTAAGAATCATCTACAATAAGTACATAAAGGTCCATTGTGGTTGATTATACCGAAACATCACATTTGACTTTCCAAACGAATTTCGTAACGTTGGCTATTCAATCTTTTGTAATGTCAAGTTATTAACGTGACATTATTAACTTCAGTGAGATTCTCATGACGCTTATAGTCTTCTAATCTATTGTCTAAAGGCAATTTATAGCCTACATTTTCCTTTGATATAATTTTGATAATGAAAATGTCGCACAAAAGCTTTTGAAACAATTGGTGAACAAATGACAAATATGCAGTATTAAGGAAATAGT